CCCGCTCCCTGCCGCGCGGGCCCGCGCTCCGCGCCCCTTCCCCGACGCCTCCCAACGCAGTGTGGCGTGGCGGGGTGTGTGGGGGCGTCTGCGGACGGCGCAAGGGCTCCGGTGATGCTTTGGGATTTGCTTTGGGGCTGTACAGTTTGGGGGAAAGTGAGGCTCTTTATTTGGATTGTTTTGGTCTTTGCTCTTTTGAGAAGGAAAATATCAGACCTACTCTTCATTCCTCTTGGGGGAGGGGGTATTGCTCTAACAATAAATAACAACGATCGTAGGGATCTAGCCGGAGAGATTAGAGTTAAATTAGTAACTTCTTCGGAAGTGAGCGTCAACTGAGAAAACCAAAGGTTCATTTAGGGAGGGGGACAGCTTTCCTCTCCCACACACAATCCCTTCCCCCAACACGCAGAGGCATCCACAGGCCAGCGAAATGAACAAACAACAGATTTCACCCTTTCCACATAGATTATTAGAGCACCTGCCAAACTGCTGAGCAGGAGACACAAGTTTTTGCCACTTTCCCACTGTGTGACCTTGGGCAAGTTACTTAACCTCTCTGAATTAAACTGGAGGTAATTCCTGACCTGGGCAACTGTGGGAGAAAAATGAGGACTAGAACTAAAGGTGCTCTATGAATCCTCAGGGGGTGTTAATAAGTCATTTTCGTTATTCCCTGATGGGTTAAAAAACGTGGGCAGAGGCACCGTCAGCCTTGCTGCAGGTAGAGAATGATCAGGGGAAACTCTGGAGGACTCTGGCTAACCCCTGACAAGACAACCCTGGAAGCAGGGGGGCTGAAGAGGGGGCTTTTGGTAGGCTCAGCATTTAGCTGTGAAGCCTCTGGTCTGGAGGCAGGGTTCAGGCTGCTGTGAACTTGAGCCTACCTTTTTGACTCCTGGGGGGGTGGGGATGGTGAAGCTGGAAGAGGCTGGAGAATAGGTTTCTTGCTGTGAGCTTTGAAATTTAGCAGCAGCTCCCATCTTGCCCCGCTGTAGGGAGAAGATTGGACTGAGGGGTGAGCTCCCAGGAGAGCCAGCAGAGGCTGTGTATTCTTTCTCATCAAAGAAAGGGATTCTCATTGGCTCCCTTCCTCCCTCTCCTACTGGGTTCCCTTTGAGTCCTTCCTGCTAGTTTCTGCTCCCTTTTACAGTCCAGAACACTAGCTTTCTCTGAGCCATGGGACAACCCACCTGCCCTCTGGATATGAAGGCTACTCAACTGGGACATCTGTCACCCCACTAATCCCGAGGGCTAGGCAGGTGTCATCTTCCTTAATACTTCACAGATTCTCGTCCAAAGCTCTTAGAAGACCAGGCAAAAGATCAGAGGCTGGGCTTAAAGGTGTGGGGTTGTTTCTGGGGCCTCAGTGAGCATGGACTTGGCCACCAACTGGACCTGAAACTGACTGGCAAGCCTTCCCTCACTGGAAAGCGTTAGTGGGTCCAGGTACCATCTGAGCACACACTCAATGGGATGAGTTGTCAGTTCCTGATGCTGCTGAGCTGCTCAGGGTACAGGCCTGAGTCACCCAGCAGGGCACAGCCCAATGATTTATCCTGGATTCTAGGCAGTTGATGGCAAAAGGCCAATAGAGATTATACCTAGTTCAAGTACCCCCAAAGTACCTCCCTCAAATCTGAACCTGATCTCATTGCATTCTCCCTGTTTTTGGTTCTGTTGCTCATATCAAACAGTTCTGATAGCAGGGACCATATCCCAGTCATCTTCATATCCCCAGGTGCCCTGGTAGTACCTGCACTTATTTATTCAACAAAGATTTCCTGAACACCTATTATGTGCTGGATGTTGAGAATACAGTGATGACCATGTCTCTGAAGGACAAACATCTCTTTTGCCCTCTTTGGAGCTTATATTCTACTAGAAGAGTCAGACCAAAAAAAAAATAATATATATATATATAGAGAGAGAGAGAGAGGGAAGAATGGAAGGGGTGGGATCTGCTTTAGATAAAGTAGTCAGAGCAGGTCTCTCTGATGAGGTGACATTTAAGCTAAAATCTTAAAGAGGAGGGAGTGTTCCTCATTGAATGAACAAGTGAATAATGCTGTATGACTTTGGATTATTTACTTCACCTATCTATGCCTGTTTCTTCATCTGAGAAAACTGGATATTGATCTGAATTCCTCCTAAGAACCCATGATATTATCAGATATTACCATGTCTTATCATGGTAGAGACAGAAAAAGGTAACATCCAAGGGCCTGGTGAAGGGGAAGCGAGGTAGGAGGATGTGAGAGGAGAGGAGGGAACACGGTGGATATTTCTGTCTCTAGTTGTAAGATATCTCTAAATGGCGTTCACAGGCACTGTGAGAGAGGACCCACTTCCAGTAGTTACTGGTAGGAGAGACCATGCAAAAGCAAGGCCCAAGTCACCCCTGCATATTTCTTTATTGGAAACTATCAGGGAATCTGTCTCCCACTCCCAGGACTCCTGCTCTAGAGAGAAACTCTCTCTTTCCTGTCCCATTCTTGCCTGAAAAGAGTAGGAGGAGGTGGCGTTAGCAACTGGCAAGAAGATTGAATCAAAATAAAACGCTGATGACTCAAAGAGAACCAGACAGGCTGAAAAATCGATTAGACACACATGACAGTGCAGGACCCTGGTGCCACCCTTAGCCCTCCAGTTCTAGGCTCTACAAACCCTAGACTCTAGGGTTTGCTGCAGAACCATCCTGGGACTCCAACTGTAGCTACTGGTCTTCCATCAGATCAGAGGTTTGGGCAGTGGTGGACTCATTCCTTCACCAAATCCCCCCATTCCTGTGGAGGTTATGTACATCCTCCAAATTAGCGAAGTTTGGGTAGAAAGTTTATAACTATTTGTGCTTCATATTCTGCACAACCAAGTTCATTTCTGCTGTCTCCCAATTAAAAGTACACAGCCACACCTGATTTTACTGCGCTTCACTTTACTGCGCTTCGCAGATACTATAGTTTTTACAAACTGAAGGTCTTTGGCAACCCTGTGTTGAGCGAGTCAGTTTGCGCCATTTTTCCAACAGCATTATTTTTTAATTAAGGTATGTATGTTGTTATTTTAGACATATTACTATTGCACACTTAACAGACTATACTGTAAATATAACTTTTCTATGCACGGGGAGACCAGAAAATTTGTGTGACTCTTTTTATTGAGATATTTGCTTTATTGTGGTGGTCTGAAAGTAAACCCGCAGTATCTCTGATGTGTGCCTGTACTGAATTTTTGAATAATTATTATGTGCTAACCATCAGCTCTGAGTTCCATGAGGTTTTATTTGCTTCATTCACTGCTGTATCCCCAGTACCTTCAACAGTGCCTGGCACGTACTCAGTAATAGTTGTTGATCAACTAATTAATGCACTTGTGAGGTCCTGTGCTAAGCTAAGAACTTAATACACATTTTTTCCCACTGGGATCCCTATTTTGTATTTATTTGCTTGCTTGCTTTTGGTGGAGGGAGGTAATTGGGTTTATTTATTTATTTTTAGGGGAGATGCTAGGGATTGAACCCAGGACCTCATGCCTGCTAAGCATGTGCTCTACCAATTGAGCTATACCTTCCCTCCTTGGGACCCCTATTTTGTAAATGAGGAATCTGATAATCAGAAAAGTTGAAGAATTTGCACAAGGTCACATTCTATAGAATTAGAATTCTATTTTGAAGGGCAGTGCTCAGAAAACAGCAGGCATTGCTCATTGCTTTGGAGAGCTTATTCAAACAAAGCCATTTTTTAATTCTTTTCCTCAGGATGGTGACAGGCTGCCCCTCTGCATCCAGAGCTCAGACTGGGTGCCAGAGCTCAGGTGTACTTTGCTTTCAGACAAGAAGGTACATTTCACATGGAGAACTCAGCTCAGGAACTTATGTTACAGCCCAGGAGAGGGAACAGCTCAGGCCTCCTGCCTGCACTGCACTGCCCAGGATCAGCTGACTGTGCTGGGGTAATTCAAATGTGGAGCTTACTCAGCAGCCTGTGGCCTTTCGGGCCGCTAGGCACCAATGTCCACCCTGCCTCCCAGCCCTGGTTCCCAAAAGCTTCTAGCTCAGAGGGAAAATGAAGAAGTGCAGGGAGATGATTCAAACCCCAGGTGGGAGGAAAAGTTGACTTTAGGGAAATATGTCACCCCCATCCTTGAATTAAGAGTTTGAGGGGGAGGGTATAGCTCAGTGGTAGAGCACATGCTTGACATGCACGAGGTCTTGGGTTCAATCCCCAATACCTCCATTAAATACATACATACATAAATACATAAATAACTTTAGAAAAGGGTGTGTGTGTGCTCGATAGCTGCCAA